ATACAACTTATATAGACTTTCAAAAAACAAAAAAAGATGACATCATTTTCCAATAAGCATCAGAAATTGTTAATTCATTCAAACTATATGCATTTTCTTGAGAATTTCCTTAAACATTGAAAGTGAGTCAGTCTCAGCAAATTCTTGAAAAGTACTTTTAAAAAACAGTTAAAGTTCATAACCATTAATTAACCGCATCCTACGCTGTCATCAGGAAACAGACGAAAAATATAACCAGATAAAAATTAAGAAAAGACAAAAATTAAATTCAATAACTAGGCCTATATAAAACAGCATCAATGATAAAATAAAGTTATTCAAGAGGTCATCAGTGCAGCATTTATACCACCCATAATGTTTACTTTCCTTCCTTTATACATCTTTGAGATTTCTTCTTCAATCTGAAAAAAACAGTGACCAGAAATCAATATTGTTCAAATGAAATTTTTTTCGCTTTCGGTCACTGAACAATTATAGAACGGAATGATCTTGAAATATAATAAGAGCTGAAAGTAGTTAATTAGCAAATTATTAAGCAACCGGAACTTACTTGCTTCTGCAATATTTTGCTAGTCTCACAAATCCTATCCAATGTTTCATGCGCTTTCACTATACTCATTTGCATTTCATTCTGTTTCTCTATCATCAGGTCTTTCATCTTTCGGTAACGTTCTTCTAAAGAACGCTTCTGATCCAAGATTTCCATCAGTTTTTCAACATATCTCAAAACAATGTAATTACATTTCCAGTCTTTTAAGTTTTAAAATTTGGGACTCAAAATTTACAAAAATGTAACAAACGGTTTAGGCTTACGTACGAAAAATTTCAGAAACAAACGGTGAAATTTTTTTTCAACTCTTTCACAGTAAAAAAAAGATTTCATTAACAAAAATTATAATTCCTTAAAATTTACTGAGGTGAGGAACGTATTCGAAACAAATGAGCTTTTTGAGGATCAGTTAAGCTATTGATAATTTGGCTCACATGCATCGACCATTTATCAATTTTTTCCACGGTAATCTGCAAATCCATGAATTTTTAAAACTCCTTGTCACTAAAATCTGGAACGTTCTTCTTGAAAGAAGGTTTCTCCTGAAGAAATTTTAGGAAAAAAAACAAAGCAAAAAAATTACCTTTCTTAATGCCGCAGGTCGTTCCTCCATCCCCAATATGTAAATATCGGATATACTTTCTGTAGTTTCATCCTCTCTTCGCATCAGCAAAAATTTTTCTAACTATAAAAATGGCAATTGAAAAGAAAAGAATGAAAAAACTGGTTGAAACAAATTATCTACTATTCATTGTTAGTAGAAAAGTCAAAAAACCATATTAGAAAATTAAGGAATAATTAGCAGCACCTCTCTCAATTCAAAATAAATATGATTCCGGGTCTGTGGATTTTCTAATATTGTCAATGCATCCAAGCCTCGAGCTACTCCATCGTTAACATCACCTATAAAGAAAAGCCTGTATAGATATAAAACCAACCAAGCTGACAGACATAAGTTTTTCTGCACTTTTAGTGGAAAAGATAAAACTATTTCAACTTAATTTACCTTTTTCGTCTCCAATGACATCAATTTGAAATTCACTATCACCAAAATCAATTTCATTATCAGGAATTATAAGATCATCGCCAAAATCTATCTCTTCAGCGTTATTTGCCTGATTATATGCATAATATTTTTATATGACAGAACAAGCTAATGAAAACTGAAACGCATTTTCATTTATAAATGCAACAAAAAATATCGATAACTGATACAAACTTTTTCGGGAAACTAAAATTGGAAACAAGCTGAGCCATAAAAGTGTAAATTTGAACGAAAAATAATATTTACTACCTTTTCATTTACTCGACCATCCAGAGAAGGCAATTCAATGCGTGCTGGTTTTACACCATTCTTCCATTCATAAACTGTAACTTCTGCGCCTTTTTCCATTAACAAACGGCATAATGGTAACAAAACAATATTTGGTGTCTCGTTCCTGAACAAAAATGAAGATAAAAAATAGTACAAATATACAAGATCATTTTTAGCAAGTAATGTCAAGAAAATCAGTACAATCAATTAGACAGTAAATAATAAATCTGCGGAATTTTTTTTGAACATTAATTTTTGTTCTAACCAACATTATCACTGCTAGGTCTTATTGAAGTTCTACTTCAGTCATTTTTAAAAGAATTTTTTTACTTATTAAAAAAATTACAAAAATGACTTACAGATGTAGATATGCCCGAAACTGTTCATAATATTGAAGCGGTTCATTTAAAGACGATATAGACCTCGTTATTTCGTCCAAAAAAGATGGCAAATCAGCCAACAACGATAGTATTTCTCGTCTTAAGTCAATACCTGAAAACACCAGTAATTTTATCGAGAAATGGAAAATTAGAAATAATGACAGAATGCTCGAATGGTACCAGAAAATGATACATTAAAATCATTATCGAAAAGAATGATATGCTAAAAATTCTAATACTAAAAATTTTTAGTTTCATACCTTTAATACCCATCTTCAGCAGTTCCTTCTCGTATTGTTTCTTGCTATCAACCATTTGCTTTGCATAATCTCTTTCCTTTTTCGCACAGTCCTAAAAGCTTAAAATATATTTAGTATAACCATAAACTATTAACTTGGATACCAAAACAGATTAAAACAATACGATGATTGTTTGATCGCATTTCGAAATTTGCTTTTTTAGAGCTGGAATCTCATATTGAATCATTCTTTGAAGGATTTGAGCTGCTTCTGCTAAATGAATATTTCCTTTCTCGTACATTTGTTGAATTTGCTAAAAAGTTCATTTTAGTGAAATCATTTCGTTAATTAAATTAAAAATCTAATAAATTTCTTTTCGAATCTCAATTACATCCCAAATACTTCACACTAATCATATACTTTGTTTCGTTTCATAACAGGCTTAACGAAATGAAACAGAATATTATTCGCACCATCCAATCGTTCATTCTCTGCGACGAATAATATCCCAAGAAATTCTTCGTGCCCTTTTCCGTATCTTTCAGAATGTTGACGATTTGAACGCAGTGAAAATAATTTATATCTGCAAAATTTCTTGTAAAGAAAAATTATCAAGCATGGAAAAATTTCAAAATAAAACGTTAAAAAATCTAGCATATTCAAATATATACTCAAAAATAAATGCATCCTTCGAATGCTTACAGGAACCCTGCAGTAATTTCACGATCCTTTCATCTTCTGGCATATCCTGAATTGCTGCACTAATCTTTTCACGGATAACCATTACGTTTTTTTGCCAATCCCTATTACAGTGTCGTCGACTGAGTAACCAGTCTGAAACAACATCGGTCAAGAATTCAATATGGTGCTGAAAATGAAGTTAGTATAAAAATTTTTATTCGAATACTTCATGATATGAAATAGACAACTTACCCAGAAGCTTACCACTGTGTATATCGATCGGTATCTCCTTTTCATCAATCATTACTTTTGAACCAGAGGAATTCGAAATTCCCCCAATGATAACGATAAACTGTTTCCCTCGTTTCTTTTCAATAAATAATTCCTTTCAGGTCAACCTTTAAAACTGCAAGAAAGAAAATCAAATCAGATATTTTCAACGGAAAAGATTTTTTATCGGTTAATATAAAACATAAAATAAAAATTTCACCTATCAAATACACTTCTACTCTCTGAATTCAATCACAACCCAAAATAGCATCTAACTTTCATCAAACTCACACAAAAAAATGCTGCAAACGTCACAACAAACAAAACCACGAGAAATGAAATCAACGAAATTAAACGCGGCCATTACTCTGCACACTTTTAATCATATATCGCATGGATTCATTTAATCAATAAAAAAATTCGAAATTTCAAAAAAAACAATTGGGATGATTTATCAATAATTTTCCTTTTCATTTCATTTTGTTTAATTACAAAGCAAATTGCACCGCTGCAAATAACACACTAACACACGCTCATATTGTTGACGGAAGTATTTTTTGGTGATGAATATATGTTTATATGCATATAAATTTAAATGTAAATGTAAATACAAATATAAATATGAATTAATATAATATATAACTTGTTATGTAAATATAATGTATATAAATGTGAATATAAATATGACGTGCAGTTGAATAGGAATTTCTTTCGTAAGTTAAATTGAATTTAAAAGTTAATAGCTAATGTTTATAGAGAAAAATATGGATCCGATTAAAATGAATTAAATACATATATAGTCCTAAAAATTCTAAAAATTGCTTAATTTAAAAAGAAGTAATGAAAGCAGTTCTAAAAATTGCTTTAATTTAAAAAGAAGTAATTTTGAACAATTTCAGTTACAGGTATGTGATGTGCCATTCATTGCATGCATTTTTCTTCTGCACTATACTTTTTTCTTTTTTTATTCTGTAAAGGAAAATTTTGATGAAAATAAATTGTCACCAAATTTTGTGAATTTTATTTCAACAAAATTTCTTCCAGTCATGTTTTCTCTTCATTGAAATTAAATGGATTATCATTTTTTCATACCTGTCTACTTTCCTGAAATTAGAGAGCCATCATAATCTAGAAATTTTGCTTTTCTCCAAAATTCATTTATTTCGAACTTTCTTTTACTAATACTATTATTGCTTTAACTTCAACATTTATATAACCATAACGACTACCATTTCAAATGACAACGATGACGCATCATTTAAAATTAAAAAATTTAAGGGGGTTATTTTTTAAGGAATTATCTTGATTTTGAGTAGCATTATTTGTTTAGTAATCATTCGGAGAATAAATTTTGAATAGGAATTCTAAATTTTTTTCGGATTCTTAAAAATAAACAGGTGAAATTGAGCGAATATCCCGTGAGAAATAAGTGTGTCGTACGGTAGGAAATCAGTAGTAATAAAGGCTTTTGACAAAGCTTGTTATAGAAGTTTGCTGAACCAATGCTAATTAGCTCAATATTTACACAACTTGAATAGCTGAAATTAACATGCTTTCGCTTCAAATCATAGACTTACATTTTTTCTTTTTCCCGCTTCCTATTTTAGGAATCCCAATTTTAAAGCTCCAAAAAATTCGTCCTAAAGCGTTCTAGCTAGCCATTTTGATAAAGCCAGAATATCTTCCAATTAGTTTATTGGTATAATAAGTTTACAATGAATCTGAAAGTGAAACAAATTTACCGAGAATTCATGTTTTTAATCACGAAAATTGTTAATTAATCTTCTATAAAGAAATACGCTTTTCCCTTACTTATGAAATGATGCAAATGACAAATTTTGACCGTTCAAATTTTAAAGGCATTATTTAAAAAGCTGTTGCTTTACAGCTTTCTATCTTATTGCATCCAAAAAATACGTCGTTCTCGTTTTTCCACACATCATTATCATTTAATATCTTTTCTGTCATAAGAGGAACAGAAAAAAAAAGAATTTGTGAATGAAAGGAAAAGAAAAATAACGTGAGGATGAATGATTGGAAGAATGAATCTCGAAAAAAGTGCAAATGATTCAAAGACCTTGCGAAAATACGGCTGGCATTGATTTTTCCTCTCGTCTATTCATTCATAAAATAAGCTAAGTGACTTGAGCTTTCTACAAAAATAAGTAAAATTATTTGTATTGGTTTAAGTCATAAATTTTGAAATCAAAGTTAGAATTATTTGATGTTACTACTTTTATTTGTTTTGGAGGCATTTCAACCTCTTATAAAAATTCCAATTTTTCTTCTTTCATTTGAAAAAGTTGCCGGGAACAATTTGGGACAAAAAGTTTCCGGTAATTTCCTCTTTAATTTATAAATTTTTTTCGTATGAAGTTTTCCCATTTTTCTATAGTATTTCATTCAAATCAATTGCCCGTTTGAACTTTTCAAAAGTTCTTTTTTTTTGGGAAAAACTTTTATGTAAATATTATAATCTCATGCAATTTAGCAACTGCACCACTTCATTTAAAATCCATTAATCGTTTACACTTATTTCAAAACTTTTTTTCCATTAAATCCCAAAATGCTCACTTTAATTTCTCTTCTCCCTTTCTACTAATGAAAACCTAATATGTCTGCAACATTTTAAGAAGCCACCGGGACAATCGCACATATTCCGAGAATCCCCGGAAACTTTCCATGCTAAGAGCCCTTGCCACTAAATTCCGAATCGAAGCTTTTTTTGCGGGAAAGCGCGGCTCGGTGTTATAGGCATAGATGAGAAGGTGGTGAGGTGTTAAGGCATAGATTGATTATATTATCAGTTCCGATGGAGCATTAC